TTGACTAGCAGGTCGAACAACGGATGTTCTTAAACCCTGCTGACTGCCATGGCGATTGCCAAATAAACGGATCACAGATGTAACACAATGGATCTTAATTATATTAATTTAATACCAAACAGAAAACAATAAACTTGCAGAAAAGATGGTATACCGCAAACATGAGGTGCAAAAATTTGTACACCATATCCGGATTTCGACAAGTAATGTCTCTTCAGTGATGTTAGGAATCGAAACGGTATTTGGAAGGCCATATAATTTACCTCAATTTGGGATTGACTCTTGAATTTTGAAGAGTCGAAATAGGATGAACGGATCATATAAACCCGAAGGCAAATATAATACAAGCCCAAACGAAAAAATATAAACAAGTCTAAATTGAAAACAACGTTCAAACCTATGATTGCGTTGGATAAAAACCGCAATTTTTATACGTGTGCATGCAAAACAAATTTCTTTGTAGAGGGGTCTAAATACAGCACAAACAACATTTTCCAAAAGACCAAAAAAGTGAAAAAGTATATTTTTTAAGTTTATTGTTTTCTGTTTGGTATTAAATTAATATAATTAAGATCCATTGTGTTACATCTGTGATTCGTTTATTTGGCAATCGCCATGGCAGTCAGCAGGGTTTAAGAAAATCCGTTGTTCGACCTGCTAGTCAAATGCGTTTTGTTAAAATATACTTTTTCACTTTTTTGGTATTTTGGAAAATGTTGTTTGTGCTGTATTTAGACCCCTTGTCGAAATCCGGATATGGTGTACAAATTTTTGCACCTTATGTTTGCGGTATACCATCTTTTCCGCAAGTTATATTGTTTTCTGTTTGGTATTAAATTAATATAATTAAGATCCATTGTGTTACATCTGTGATCCGTTTATTTGGCAATCGACATGGCAGTCAGCAGGGTTTAAGAACATCCGTTGTTCGACCTGCTAGTCAAATGCGTTTTGTTAAAATATACTTTTTCACTTTTTTGGTCTTTTGGAAAATGTTGTTTGTGCTGTATTTAGAACCCTCTACAAAGAAATTTGTTTTGCATGCACACGTATAAAAATTGCGGTTTTTATCCAACGCAATCATAGGTTTGAACGTTGTTTTCAATTTAGACTTGTAAATATATATATATATATATATATATATATATTAAAGGTTTATAATTAACAGTAATATACAAGTTAGCGTTATTGAGTGACAGAAATATACACGTACTTACCACAAAATTATTTTATTTATTGATATTACTTTTACTGTTAAGTCTGTTTTTGTGATATCCATTTTACGTGACTCTGTACTTATGTATCCCGTCATACTTTGAACGACAAAATTATTTTATGTCTACCTGTGCGAATTTGAAACGCACGATTTTACGCCAGTACTTAGAACCTTCCATCCTTAATGGGTGGATTTTACATAGATAAATAAATTCGTATAATAAAAAAGCAAAATAAGGATGTTAAATTTGATGTATGCCTTTTTGTGCTTCTTCGTTACATTTGTTGGTTTTTATAGTGATTAAGATGATAACACAATGTTGACTGCTGTACCCCTATTTTTGACATTTTTACCTATTGTGTCTGTTTGTTTTGTTCACACATCGTTGTCAATATAATGGAATTTGATGCGACTGTCATACAAGTGAGAGGTTTAGCTAGCTTTAAAACCAGGTTCAATCCACCATTTTTTACATAAGAAAATGCCTGTACCAAGTAAGGAATATGACAGCTGTTATTCGTTCGTTTGATGTCTTTGAGCTTTTGATTTTGCCATTCTATTAGGACTTATATCCAGAAAATGACTATGAGGGTCGATTGAAAACAAAACTTTACGACAAAAGAGATGATGTCAGTTTCCCAATTGTGACCTTTTCATTTTTAAACCAAGTGTTCCAAATGATGCAGTTGAAATCATCACTTCGTAAATTTTACGGACGCCATCACGAGTTGGTTGACCGTGATGGAATATCCGTTTCACAGATGATATCGGATATGTTCCTTATGTCGCAATTACAATCCCGTTCCCTTTTCACGAATGTGACCTACCGAATTAGACTATGTACCGGCTATGTAATAACACGAGCAACACGACGAGTGCCACATGTGGAGCAGGATCTGCTTACCCTTCCGGAGCACCTGAGATCACCTCCAGTTTTTTGTGGGGTTCGTGTTGCTGTTGAGCCCTTTATTTGTGACATTTTTACCTATTGTGTCTGTTTGTTTTGTTCACACATTGTTGTCAATTTAATGGAATTTGATGCGACTGTCATACAAGTGAGAGGTTTAGCTAGCTTTAAATCCACCATTTTCTACATAAGAAAATGCCTGTACCATGTCAGGAATATGACAGTTGTTATCCATTCGTTTGTTGTGTTTGAGCTTTTGATTTTGCCATTTGATTAGGGACTTTCCTTTTTGAATTTTCCTCGGAGTTCAGTATTTTTGTGATTTTACTTTTTACAATGGCTTAATGTAATTTGTTAGTCGCAACTAGAAATCAGTATAGACATGGTCCACGATCGATGAATTTGTATCAATTGCATGTATTGTAACAGTAATATTGTGTGTTATATAATTTGATTTTTATCTTAAAAGATATTTTTTAAACAAAAAAATAATTTAAACGTTTTCTTGAAAATTTTGGTGCATATTAAAGATAAAAAATGTAAATCTTGTAGATTTTAAATTTAACAAAAATTTCGTTTGTTTTTAACATGTGACAATACGGACTACTGAATGACCTAAAGAAATTAAACCATTATTTTGACCATGGACATTCATTTTATCGAATACAGCGTTATATCGGGTCTTACTTTTGAATTAGGGATTCGAAGTTCAATGTTTAGAGTAATCTCATACGTCTACGAAATACTAATTGTACATTTCATCTTTCTTTTTCTATCTTTCTCTTTTTCTTTTCTTTGTCATACATTTAGTAAAACAGTTATGTGACATAAATTATCTCGTGTCATATTAGATCCCAATTCCGCAGAGTTGACTCAATTGGAGGTAGCGAGACCACGGGTACTCAGTAAACTGGACCCCTGTACGTTGTGATAACTTATCGCTACCCTAACGCAGAGCGGAGATTTTGATGGAATGGCGGACTAGTTAAGGGTATACTAAGCTAGACTGGTTGTCCTAGTGAAAGTTCAACCATGGTTAAAATTTCACCCATGCAGATCCCTGTATAAATATCTGGATCATACATTCGTCGTTCGATGTTGTGTATCTTTGTATATATGCCTATTTTTGCCGAAGTTGTTTGGTGTTGCAATTGGTGGCAGGTGTGTCCTGTGTATAGTGTGTACAATATGTTTGGTAAATCCTGCATATCATCAATTGTTTCATATGGGAAAAGAGTTTGTATTTTGGTGTGGCTTTTGTTCTTTTTGTACCGGTGGCTAATAACATAGGTTTGATCCTCGACTGGTTAAGTGGCAATTTTTGAAAGAAAATCCTACTAAACCATTACAATACATATAGTACTATCACCTGCTTTTTGTACAGATATTGCAGATAATTATTACACAATTATCTTGGAAATAAAACATATTTTTTATTGGCTTTATGATTATAATTGTACTGAAATTTAACCCTAACCTTTTGTAATAAATAGTGGACTGATCGATATTGTCTTCACATTTATAGTTGTCGCAATAAGTGTATTTTAAACCCAACAACTTTAAACTATAATAAGGTGAGAGATATTGATCTTTTTTAAGTATACACAGAAAAATATTAATTTGTGTGTAAACATATTTTTCATTCAATTCTCGTATTTGTTTCCCACAAACAAACTCCAAAATCATAAAAATGGATAGGAATGATAGGACACGGGGGATATAAACCAGTGAGACGGAAAAGAAAGACATGTAAAGTTAAGCTGTTCCACATTTAATTGGCGAACACGACCCCATATTCCCGCATTCGTTTTAATTTATTATCTTTTATGATCTGTTCTCTCAACAACTTCTCCATACTTTGAGCAATCTGGAAAATAGCTTCAAAATATTGCATATTGAACTTTTTTTTATTGTTGAAGGCTGTACGTTGTCCATTGATTATTGTTTACATCGCTCAACATGTTTCTTTTAATAAATATACAACGAATATGAATGAAAAAATAAACATTACTACAATGTCTTTTTTTTCTACTTTTGTTTTATTGACACAATGGTTCTGTTTTATTTATTCATACGAATAACAAAATTGTCTAAAGGACGTGAACAAAATCAATATTATATTTCTTGTGACAACGATATAAACAGTCCATAATGTAAGTTCTATAACTCTTGTTTTTTTTAAATGATCAAATTATATACTTAGTTATCTCCCATTTTACATTTCAGAAAATGGTCAAAGTTGTTTTAAAGTACAGTCCTTACCAAAGATGAAACGGGGTCTATCACAGCGAAAAGAAAATACAGGGACTTAAAGGTGAACAACTAACATAGAACTGTCATACTAAAATGAAAACACAAGGAGTTGATTAGAAATGCATCGTTAATAAATTTTGAGACTTAAATGAATAATACGTTATAATAAACGAAGGCACTACGTATATTTCCAGAAAGAGGTTTAGCCGGGATCTTGTAGTTTCACTTGAACTTTAAAATGTTTCTCCATTTAACAGAATGATGCTTGTCGTAGATACAAGCTGCTTTGAAAAATTGTCTATTTGTAGTAACTTGCATTGAACCAAGATATAACATGTATTATCAAACAGGAATATGGACCTCGGATATTGGGGTTTTGGTGGGGAGGTGGCGAGGGGGATGGTAAATAGGCAATTGGCCCAGAGACGACCATAGAAGTATGGGACCAAGAGAGTGCGCGAAACACAGGAAGCTCCTGATATCACAGGATTTACATGTTCTTTCTTTTTCATTTTTTTTCTCTCTATTTTTCTTATGAATATGTTTTCCTATTTCCATGCACGCTATATTTCTTTTTTTTTTTTAAATTCAGGAAATAAATTTGATGTTGTTTCATACTTACAGGTATACTGGGGTCCTCTGGTTTTACTGTAGTAACTCATAAAATACAGAATAGAGACGCTTGTCAACTTACAATTGATTCTAAAGCTGTCTGGAGTTGTAATATTACAACACTTCAAACAGGTAAACATCAGTAAAGAGGAGAGAGAGAGAGAGAGAGAGAGAGAGAGAGAGAGAGAGAGAGAGAGAACGATTTAGGGTATGAGGAAAGACTAAACACATATTATGTATATTATAAATATCAATAAAGATTATGAAATTATTTTTAAATCAACGACCAGACGAGTGTATATAGGGATTTTAAGTAATAACTTAAAATCTTAAAAAAAAAAAAAACCAAGCTTCTTTTAAATTTTGTTGCACGTTTATGGTGTTTAGAAATTTAAACTGAATTCACTATAATATACACAACGCCCGTAAGGCACTATTCAACCCTTTTGAAAGAACGTACTCGTCTCTTGAACTAGACGGACCATCATGATAACTATTGGGTACACATTTTATATATTTAAGGAGGAAGCGGAAAAGACGATCCATTGTGTCTCGAAGCTCTAAGTGCCGTAACAAAAATCTCTTCAAATAATCACACCAAATGATAGAAACATTTATATTAGAAATGTCAAAGAATCCTAGAAAAGTTATCAGACTATAACCATGAGGAACGTCAAGTGGAACTTGATATTATTTGGTCTTATAGGTACATTGAAGATTTTTTAAACAGTTTACAATGACATATAATGCCAAGTGAAGGCAAACGCACACATGACCCTTTTGTTCAGTAAGGTAAAAAATACAAGATTTAATGTTTTGTATTGATATAAATATAAACTACATTTGAACGCGAATAAATTGATTGTCCTGATTAGTATGTTATTTTGTTTGTGTGTTGATGAAAAACCCTATTTGGGATTTTCTATAAAAAAAAATTTTTGATTTAACTTTTAACTTAATATCATTATACTAGACTTGTTCTTACATTATTTCTATGACCCAACCTTGATCTTCTTTGTGGTATAGCATCCTGTCAAAAGAAACCAAATGATAAACACCATATTTACCAAAGTTTGCAATCTAAATTTGTACATGTATAATAAAAATATGAGTAGTCCAGTAATATTGTTTACAAATAATTTCAACATTTTTTTTCATTACTGTGTACTGCAGTTAAAGACAACTTTTTTTTTATCTCTTATTGTACTGTATATTGATGCAGGTTGTTTTGTGTCCTAGATATTTCATATTTGTTTACATTAATATGAGCTCACAAAATTATACATCCGCCCCTTGCAAAAATAAAAAAGATTAAGAAACAAGAATGTGTCCATTGTACATGGATGCCCAACTCACACTTTTATTTTCAATATTCAGTGGACCGTGAAATAGGAGTAAAAACTCGCAATTAACATTAAAATTAAAAATATCATGCGGAACATATATACTTAGTTTCAAGTTGCTTGGACTTTAAACTTTATAAATACATTGACTAAAAAATTTACTGAAGTGTGCACTATCATTTTCTATGTTCAGTGGACTGTGAAATATGGTTAAAAACTCTCATTTGGCATCATATCATAGGGAACATGTGTCCTAAGTTTCAAGTTGATTGGAATTCAACTTCATCAAAAAGAACAAAAAATATAATCTGAAGAAGGACAGATGGACAAAATGAACGAAGACACAGAGGCCGAAACACACTATAAAAATGAAATAGACAGTGCCTAATGTCACTTTACAATTAAAAATAAAAGAAATTTTTAATAAAATATCAAAGAAGAATTATGGATACAAAATATCCCCCCCCCCCTTTACAAATTAAGGGGTGGTTTGATAAATCCATTTTTCTTTTCTATTTTAAACTATAAATAGATAGAAGTTTGTTTTATCTTTATAAATAGATAGAAGGATACTTTATTTTATTTTCTAACTCGTAGAAAGTCATACCCACCAAATGGGGGTTAGACAAACTGCTTCCTGACTCGTCACTGCTCTCTTCAGGAGAACTCTAGCCTATCTGAAAAGTTAAATGAGAAGATAAATAGCATGCACAAGTGTATCTGTAAAATAAAAGCAGAAAAAAAGAAGCAATGTAAATTTCATGATACCAATCCTAGTGTGTCAGCTCAGCTATGAAAGTGATACAATAAAAATAGAGCTTTTACTTTACTGCTCTCTGATGATTAATTCTTCCATAAAACACATTTTTAGAATACTAAATATACTACTTTTAAAGTTTTATCAAGCCTTATATGAAGGCTTTGGTAAGCAATACTATATATATATAATGTTTAGCATATATCATTTAGTTACATGTACATCTATATGATGTGTTGCATACCATTTATAGTGACCTTGAAAGGACAAAGTGTCACCTTTAATTGGAACCCCATGTGCCATATACATGATATATGTAAAATGGTAAATAAGCAATACAAGTTTTTGATGTCTTGAAATGTTGCTTTTATAGCATGGGGAAAAATATATTGAACATGGGTTTTCTCGTGCACTAATTTTTGATATTTTACTGGTAAAAATCACCTTTTCTGCTGGTAAAATATACATGTTTGACCTGCCTATTTTGGATTTCACATCCTTTGTTGAAGTGACTTGCAATTCTTTAAGCTCACATATATTGATGGTATTTCTCACTGCTTTCATATATTTGAAAGCACATGTGAACTTAAAGATGGACATGACTTTTTCTGTCAGTTTATTTATTGTTGCAGATCTTTCAATCTTAATAGGACGATAACCTGAAATAGATATTGATGTTGTGAAAGCAGGCATAATCTTTTTATTTGGTTAGAACTCAATTTTTACAAGGTGATTTCAATAATAATAAGCCTTCAGAAAGTAACCGTATATCTTTTTTTAATTTTGCATTATATAAAGAATGATGCACAAACAAGAGGCTCTCAAGAGTCTGAATCGCTCACCTGATTTGTTAAAGCTTAATTCATTCACCAATCATGATTTATATTTTTGAGTAATAATGTATACCGGTGTTTGCTTAAAAATGCACCTTTTTTTAGGGGGGTTGGGGGGTGGCTGGGGGTCATTGTTCTGAACATGTTCATGCAGATAGATCAATACTATTTTTCTCAATTACCCAAAGGAACATTCATTTAAAGTTTGAAGGTATTTGGCCCAGTAGTTTCAGAGGAGAAGATTTTTGAAATAGTAAGACAGAAAATTACTAATTTAGTGGCAGCAACCCAACAATGGTTTGTTTGATTTGTTTGAAAATTTCAGGGCTGGTAGATCTTGACCTGTTTAACATTTTTACCCCATGTCAGATTTGCTCTATTCTAAATGCTTTACTTATTGAGATATAAGCCCAAAACTGCATTTTACCCCTATGTTCTATTTTTAGTCATGGTGGCCATGTTTGTTGATGGATCAAAATTTCGGATACAATTTATAAACTAGATACCCTAAGGAACATTCATTCAAAGTTTGAAGGTATTTGCCCAGTAGTTTCAGAGGAGAAGATTTTTGAAATAGTTTACGACGACAGACGACAACAGACGACGACGACGGACGCAAAGTGATGGCATAAGCTCACATGGGGCCCTTCAGGCCCGGTGAGCTAAAAACAAGCTGTAATTCAGTGGTTGTCGTTTGTCATGTTTGTTGTTGTGTTTTTTATTTTTTCTTTCATTTTTTGTACATTAATTAAGCCGTTAATTTTCTTGTTTAAATTTGTCATTTCTTGGCCTTTTATAGCTGACTATGCAGTATTGGCTTTGCTTATTGATGAAGACCCTACGGTGACCTATTCTGTCATCAAAATCACTCACAAAATTTGATCTGCAAAACCATCATTTTTAATTTATTATTTAAGGGAAATTCCTGTAAATAAGTCAATGACATTTCATATGTTTTTATTTTAGCATTAGCAATTTGGCAAATATCATTTCCATGGAGATATTTTTACCACAACCCCTCAGTCACCCAATCATGGTTCATTGACTTTGGAATTTTTTCATGGCTTATTTGTTAAAGTCTAGGGTTAGGTTATAAAGGAAACCAATGATGTTAAATCATTAAAATCTAGTATTAAATTGTGAAATCTTGTATTAATTATAAAAAAAGAAGATGTGGTATGATTGCCAATAAGACAACTCTCCACAAGAGACCAAATGACACAGAAATTAACAACTATAGGTCACCATACAGCATGTACAATATCAAGTTGTGAAATCTAGTATTAAGTTGTGTAAGCATTTGTATATTTTGTTTCCTTAAAATTTATTTGGGGCAGGCCTCACATTGTCAGTCAAATTTTTCCATAGTTTACATGTTATGTGTGGTATTTTTATTTCAAACAATTGCATTAAACTTTCAAAGTTGCATACAGTCAACTGTGTCAACAGTTTATTTTTATAATTACACAGTTATTTACCTAATTGCTTTTCATTCATTGCTTTCACAATGGTAGGATTAATGGTTTGATACTCTGGGCTGTCCAAACACGTCACTTTGAAGGAGTACATAGGTTTTTTTCTTTTTCCTGGATGACCCTGCTCTTAGTCTTGATTCATGACTTCGTCTGAAGTGTTGAAATCTGAAATATCATTTACGATAAAATAAAAATATATTTTACATTATTTTATTTTTATTTTCATTTTAGTTGCAAACTCTGTCTGACTGACAAACTGTCAGACATAAAATTAATTGGTCAAACAGAAATTTTTAGATTTAGTTGCAAATATACATGTAGTAGAAAAGATCAAGTTTCTATTTCGGTCAGACAAACTCTGAAACAGTTCGGCACCAACTGGTATCCAATTACATTTATCTACATTCAATGATTCATGACATTCTTACATGTGTACATTGTAAATGTACACGACTCATGACTCATGACTGCATGTGTAACCTATAGATGCTGTCTGCTCTATGGTCGGGTTGTTGTCTCTTTGACACATTCCCCATTTCCATTCTCAATTTTAATCACAGGGACTTGTCTAATAATGGGTCATACGGATCACTTGAACTTAGTTACCACAATACTGAAATACCGAAGATAACAGTTGACAAAATATAATATATAAAGCAAGACTTAAATATCATTTTTTTTTAAATTCATATTTATGAACCCTTCTGTAGGCCTGTGTATCAAT